CACAGGGCGCCACCATAGCAACCAGGCTATAAGTAGACTAGGGCCCAAAAACTGCAAGAATAACCCAGTTTGAGACTATTTGAACTGCTCTGGCTATATGCTAGGAATTCTGGGGACTGTAGTGTTTGTGAGACATTGAGCCTTCTCTGTCAGAGAGCTCTGGTGCCAGAATAAACTTTTATTCCCAGGATTCCCTAGCACTGAGCCAGGGCAGTTAAATTGGTCTCAGACTGGATTATTTCTACAATGTGTTTTGTATCCAGCTGGTAATAGGAAGCCTGAAGGCACCTCAATCCGCACTGCAGAATTAATGGAGTTTGATACGGCTTTGAACTGCAGTGGTTCCGTGCTGAAGAATTCTGGGAGTTGTAGTTTCTTAGGCACCAGAGCTCTCTGACAAGAGAAGGCTAAATATCTCACAAAACTACAGTTCCCAGGATTCCATAGCATTGAGCCCTGGAGGTTAAAGCGATCTCAAATTGAATTATTTCTGTGGTGTGGATGCAGCTGGAGTAAATTACATGCCTCCACCAATTTCTGGACTCACTGGTCCAAAACACACAGCAGAATTAATGGAGTTTGGCTAGGGAATTCTGGGAACTGTAGTTTTGTGAGACATTGAGCCTTCTCAGGGCCTAAGCAGACTGCCAGAAATAGTGCACATTAAATTGAGGCACTGCCCTGGCTCAGTGCTAGGGAATCTTGGGAACTGTAATTTATCGTGACGCCAGAGCTCTCTGACAGAGAAGGCTCAATGCCTCAGAAAAAAATACAATTCCCATGATTCCCTAGCACTGAGCCAGGGCAGTGCCTCAATTTAATGTGCACTATTTCTGGCAGTCTGCTTAGGCCCTCAGTCAGGGAGCTCTGATGCCACAATAGATTACAAATCCCAGGGTTCCCTAGCACTAAACCAGGGCAGTTAAAGCAGTCTCAAACTGGATTATTTCTGCAGTTTGTTTTGGACTATGGTTAATCCCATGTAAAATTTTCAGTTTCATTTCCATCCATCAATATGTTGGGAAAGAGGCAGTCCCTCAGACTAGTTCTCCCAGTATCCCTCCAGTATCTGAAAAGTACTTTTCCACAAAGGATTTCACAAATCATGACCTCAGGTTACTACTGTATTCTCTTGTAAATTTCCCCTCAGTGCTCATTTGGTTTTCTTTGACACCAACTCAGGGGGGTTGCAGACTGCCAGAAATAGTGCAAATTGAGTCCACTTTTTAGGGTTAGGGTTATGGTTAGGGAATCATGGGAACTGTATTTTATTGTGGCACCAGAACTGTCTGACAGAAAAGGCTCAATGTCTCAGAAAAAAAACAATTCCCATGATTCCCTAGCACTAACCTTAACCCTAAAAGTGGACTCAATTTGCACTATTTCTGGTAGTCTGCAACCCCCCTCAGTCAAAGTCACAGGGCCAAAACACGCTGCAGAAGTAACCCAGTCTGCCCTGGCTCAGTGCTAGGCAATCCTGGGAATTGTAGTTTACGTGGCACCAGAGCTCTCTGACAGAGAAGGCTAAATGTCTCACAAACACTACAGATCCCAGAATTCCCTAGCATTGAGCCAGGGGAGATAAAGCGGTCTCAAACTGGATTATTTCTGCAGTGTGTGTTTGGCCACAGAAACAAAACTGTTTTTGTACTCCCATCGATTACAGAGTTTGTCAGTCTCTGGTGTATTTTACTTTTGGTCTAATTTAGGCCCAAGAAAACTAAGAATGACAGGAAAGTATTCACAGTCAGCCTCTGTATACATATACTTGACATGCTGTTTTTCCAATGCTGGCTTTCAAATAAAATAGCCCAGGGTTTTGATTCATAGTGTGGCCTAGTGGTTTTGGCGTTGGACTATGACTCTGGAGACCAGGGTTTGATTCCCAGCTTGGCCATGAAACACAATGGGCGACCTTTGCAAGTCACACTCTCTCAGCCTCCTCAGGGGAAGGCAATGGCAAACCTTGAACAAATCTTGCCAAGAAAGCACTGTGATAGGTTTGCCTTGGGGTCACCATAAGTTGGAAATGACTCAAAGGCACACAACAACAATAACAACAACAAATCTGTACCAGTCATGAGAGAACTGTACAAAGAGAGTAAGAGACAGTAAAAGAGAGAGAGAGAGAGAGAGAGTATGTTATTAGTGCCATTTCATGCAGAATTCCTGGATGATTTTGTAATTCTAGTTATATATGCCTTGACAGTAAAGAAACAAAACAATACTCCAGTTCTTTTATACCTTAAAAACTAGCCAATTTATCTTTTGTAGACTGTAGCCCACTTCAGACAATAGTGTGTCATGGAATAGTGGTTTGAGCATGTGGATGACTGTGACTTGAAAGCAGGATTTGGATCCCTGCTCAGACATGGAAAGCCACTGGGTGACCTTGGGCAAGTCACACCCTCTCAGCCTCAGGGGAAAGCAAGGACAAACCCCCTCTGAACAAGTTCTACTGACAAACCCCCATGATTGGGTTGCCATAAGTCAGAAATTACTTGAAGGCATACAACAACAACACACAGTAGACAGCGAGGTCAGGAGAAAATTAAATGCAAAAAGTGATAGTGGATGACTATTCATAAAGCTATTGCTGATAACAAGCATGCTGTGGTAGGTAAGCTAACTAGCATAAGTATGGGCAGGTTTGTACAACTTCTTGATACATCCACCACTTCAGTTTCTTAAATCTAAAATTGCATTGAATGGAGAATTTGACCCAGGATTTGGCATCAGCCAATGTGGGCAAATAAAAATATACCACTAATGTACTAGTAGGGCAAGCTTTTTCCCCCAACATTGGAAGATGAAGTAGTAAGTCTGACGACATTTCTTTAAAAAATCTTCCTTCATCAACTCGATTGTTATGAAACTAAATGTGACAGATCTGAAGGAGCCCATACCTAAAGTGAGAATTGTCCAATCCATTGTATTACCCATCATCATGTATGGATGTGAAAGCTAGACAGTGAAGAAAGCAAATAAGGACAAATTCAATTCATTTGAGATGTGATGCTGGAGAAGAGGGCTGGGGATCCTGTAGATGGCCAAAAAGACAAACTAGTGGGTCCTTGAGCAAATCAAGCCAGAAATCTCCCTGGAAGCCAAGATGACAAAACTGAGGCTGTCATACTTTGAACACATCATGAGAAAGAATGATTTATTAGAAAGGACAATGATACTAGGAAAGATTGAGGGCAATAGAAAGAGAGGAAGGCTGCAGGCTAGATGCATGGACTCCATTAAGGAGGCTATGGATATGAATCTTTTGCAGACTGCCAGAAATAGTGCAAATTGAGTCCACTTCAACTGCCCTGACTCAGTGCTCAGGAATCATGGGAACTGTAGTTTATTGTGGCACCAGAGCTCTCTGACAGAGAAGGCTCAATGTCTCAGAAAAAAAATACAACTCCCATGACTCCCTAGCACTGAGCCAGGGCAGTTAAAGTGGACTCAATTTGCACTATTTCTAGCAGTCTGCAAAGACCCTAAGGAAAGTAGTGGAGAACAAGGTCTTCAAGATATCTTATCCACAGGGTCGCCTTTGGGCATTGTCTCAGGAGCGGTTAACAACAAGCCTATTTTTAAAAAACCTAAGTGTCAGTACCACTGATTATTACAGTTTCCTCTTCTTTTAAAAATCTGATATTCATTTTGAATTTTTTTGCCACCAACCCACGTAAAAAATTTTTATCATCCTAGTAACAATGTCATAAACCAGCATGATGCAAAACATGGCTTTAGGTCTGTGTCTTTCGTTGCATCAGAGTCAGTGTGGTGTAATAGTTTGAGTGTCAGACCACAACTCTGGAGACCAGGGTTTGACTTCCCATTCAGCCATGGAAACCCATTGGGTGACCTTGGACAAGTCATACTTTCTCAGCTTCAGAGGGAGACAAAGGCAAATCCCCTCTGGACAAATCTTGCTAAGAAAATCCCATGATAGGCTCCTCATAGGGTCACCATAAGTTGGAAACGACTTGAAGGCACACAACAACAACAATTTTGGTTGCATCTGTAGTGTAGTTAACTGCAACTTTGATACATATACCGCTTCAGTTTCTTAAAGCTACAATTGTATTGAGTGGAGAATTTGCCCCAAGATTTGCCACCGGCCCCATAAACACACACTAAATAACGTGAGGGACATTGCAGAGAACTGTTGCCTGAAGTGGCTGCCTAAATTCTTTGAGGGGGAAAAATTATTCAAACTAATTTTCTCAGCATATCTACCCGTTTACCTGATAATCTGTGTAGGAAAAAATACTTTTAAACTGTTCTTTCACCAACTTCACCTGATCAATGGCACAACAGATTGGTTGAGGGCTTTTGAGGACAACTAAGCCGTGCTAAGGGAGCCTGCATTCATTCCTATTAGTTTCTGTATCCTAAAGACAAGCAAAATAGCCAGAATGCTGACTCCTAAATTGGTACTATAGCAACCACAATGCTGTCATAGCAACTAAACAGATGCCAGATGCCAAGACTCAATATTACTGGCATGATGTTATGGCAATGCCTCCAGCACTAGTGCCAAGGTACTAAAATGAAATGTGGTATTGTAGCAATAGCATCAAAGTCATGCCCAAAGAAATAAGAGTGACAAGCAGTACTAAAACATGGTATTCCCAACTGGAAATGCACTGGCAGATGTTGAAGTTGTGTAAAAACACTAGTATATATAGAAGTTTGCAATTAATATCTTTGCAGTGAAACAAATTAGGAATGGGGATCATGGTACAGCTTGACTATCTCTTATCAAAAAATCTGAAATCCAAAATGCTCCATTTGCATGGGTGGCTAAGATAGTGACACTTTTGCTTTCTGATGGTTCAATGTACACAAACTGTGTTTCATGCATAGTTTGTATAAAATTGTATAAAATTACCTTCAGGCTTTGTGTATAAGGTGCATATGAAACATAAATGAATTTTGTGTTTAGACTTGGGTCCCATTCCAAGATATCTCATTAGTGGTGGTGGTGGTGGTGTGCCTCCATGTCATATGTGATTTATAGCAACCCTAAGGTGAACCTTCTTGTCAAGTTTCTTCAAAGGGGGTTTGCCATTGCCATCATCTGAGGCTGAGAGAGTGTGACTTTCCCAAGGTCACCCAGTGGGTTTTACTGGCCAAGCAAGGATTCAAACCCCAGTCTCCAGAGTCATAGTCCAACGCTCAAACCACTAAGCCACACTGACTCTCATTATGTATATGGAAATATTCCAAAATCTGAAAAAAATCTGAGACACTTTTGGTCCCAAACATTTTGGATAAGGAATACTCAGGCTGTATAACAAAAGTTACATTTCCAAAATGACACAAAGAGAAACAAAATTATGCACTGGTGCAATGACTACCATTTGAATTTACTTTTTCAATGTTTCTTTTAAAGGTCCTTTCAAAGCATGTGAAGAACCATGTCAGCATTTCTTGTTGTTGTTACAACTGTCCCCAAGTTGACTTCAATCTCTGGCGACCCAGTGAATGAGGCATCGCCAGGATTTTCTGTCCTCAGTGGATCTGGTCAATTCCTGCAAACTTAGGGCTGTGTCCTATTTGATTGAGTCTATACATCTAGTGTGTGGTCTTGTTTCGGGGAAGGAAAGGAAATGAGGAGGGAGGAATTCTGTTATCTCATCTTTTCTAGTGAGTCCTGTCTTCTCATGGTGTGGCCAAAGTACGGTAGCCTCAATTTAGAACAGTCAGACCTCCCCATCCACGGATTCCTTATCCACTGATTTAAGGATCCATGGTTTGATTTTTTTAAAGTATAAATTCCAGGTAGCAAATCTTGATTTTGCCATTTAATATAAGGGAAACTATTTCACTGGGCCACTGTATTTAATAGGACTTGAGCATCCACAGATTTTGGTATCTGTTTTCTTAATGTTCAACATTAAACCTGCCTTTGCACTTTCTTCTTTGAATTTCCTTAGTACTTGTTCTTTGTTATTTTTGGCTATTATTACAGTGTCATTTGCATATCTTAGGTTGTTGATATCCCATCCTCCAATCTTCACTTTTCCTTCCTCTGAATCTAAGGAGATTATCAGATGGGGGAAAAGCTGGAAGTAAAAGGCATATTTCCCCATGAATGGTTATTTATTTATTTGGAGTATTTATACCCCGCTCTTCAGCTACAAAGGCTCTCAGAGTGGCTTACAAATGGTTAATTATATGGTGCTGGAGCATTTCTGGATCTTCATGGGTTAAGTCCTGGATAAGGGTGATGTCACCTGAAAATCTTCAGCACGATCACATAATTATCCCAGGATATGTCTTTTACTTCCGGCTCCAATAATAATAATAATAATAATAATAATAATAATAATAATAATAATAATAATAATAATAGCCTGCTTTTTGGATGATATTTTCTGCATATAAGTTAAACAAATGTAAGTTCAAATGTTAGTTCAAATATAAGTTGAACTAATGTAATGTTGGCACTACATCAGTATATATTAGCACTGGTAGTCTTTCCTATATGTAGGCATACAGCAGGGCCAGCTAAAATATTTTGCTGCTTGAGGACCTATGGCAACCCCCCAAATTTCACAAGGTTTTCTTAGGCAAGGAACACTCAGAGGTGGTTTGCCATTACCT